GGACCTATTTTCCAACTACTGGTGATTCTTCTTTGTTTCCAATTTTTGCATTCCAATCACCAGTGATAATTGACACATCTTGATTGCATGTTTGGTCAATTTCAGACTGCAGTAGTTGGTAAAAATTTTCAATTTCCTTATCTTTGGCTTTGTTGGTTGGTGTGTAAATGTCAATAATAGTAATATTAACTGATTTTCCTCATAGGTGTATGGATATTATCCTATCACTGACAGCATTGTATGTCAGGATATATCTTGATACATTCTTTGTGATGATGAATACCATGGCATTCTTCTTCAATTTGTCATTTCCAGCATAGTAGATCATATGATTGTCTGATTCAAAATGGCAAAAAAAAAAAGACAGTCCATTTTAGCTCACTAATGCCTAGGATATTGATTTTTATGGATTCCATTTCATTTTTGGCAACTTCCAATTTTCCTAAATTCATACTTCATACATTCCATGTTCTGATTATTAATGGATGTTTGCAGCTGTTTCTTCTCATCTTGAGACATGTCACAACAGCTAATGGGGGTCCCAAAAGCTTTACTCTGTCCACATAATTAAGTTGGCTTTACTCTGAGGAGGCAGCTCTTCTCCTGTCATATTTTGAGTGCCTTCCAACATGAGGGGCTCATCTTCCAGCAGTATATTGCACAATGTTTCAGAGCTATTCATAAAGTTTTTCAGTAATATATCAGATAGTGTTTCACTGCTATTCATAAGGTTTTCACTGGCCAATTCTTTGAGAAGTGGATGGCCTCTTTCTTCTTCCAAGTCTATCTTAGTCTGGAAGCTCTGCTGAAACTTGTCCACCATGGGTAACCCTGCTGGCATTTGAAACACTGGTGGCATAGTCTCCAGCCTCACAGCAACACTTAAGCCACCACAGTACTACAAACTGACAGACAAGTTTGTCTCCCATCATTGTTCTAAACTGCTCTGCTCATTTCCTGGTCTCCCCAGCCCTGGTTGCTTACCTGCCCTGCCCCTGGGGCAAATACTCACCTTCTACTGTTCCTGGGAATGGCTTACTCGAATTGACTTGATGGTAGTGTTTTATTATTTATTTCAGTAATTTAAGACTTGAAAAAATGAAGTAGGAATTCTAAAGGAATAAGAAGTAGAATTGGATCTCTGAACCTAATACTCTTTTCTCCTTCCTTCATCTCCACATATTCTTCTCACCTTTAAGGTATCTTTGAGTACCACCAACCCAGCGAAAATAAAGGAGTTTTGCAGCTTTAAGAATTCAACATGGTGAGGGCTATCTCAGCTCATAGATAAATCATTGCTCATAACTTTTGTGTCCCAGATATTCCTATGTCATAGGTACATTGGATAGAGGTGTGTGGCTTGGATGTTGGTGCAGCAGCTTGCACACATATTACAAAGAGATCATGGAAGAAAAATAAGAGTGACTTCCACTAGTATCAGGCCTAGAGATTTGGGAGAATAAAAAAATGTTTTCCATAGAGTTGACTGTTGTTTCAGAAGATATTTAAACTATGTCCAGAAAGTTGTTCCTTAGATATTATTGCTGCTTCAGAAGAGATCTAAATTGTCCTAAAGTCCTGAACACTGCTCCCACTCTGCCTACAGAGATGACCATGAGTTGTTGCCACCCCACCCATCCCACTATGACATGCTGCCCCACCCAATCAGAGAGGTCTAGCTATTTGTGGAAAACTCAATCAGCAGATTGCAATGGCTTTTTCACTTGGAAATCTCAGTAAGGAGCAGTACCAGGAAAGAAGGGTGAGCTCAGAGAATATCACCACAGGCTGAGATGATTTGTATGTAAAGAGAATAGAAAGAGAAATAAAATGAAGGGAAAGTGATGAAAAGGGTTGGGAATAGGAATTGAGGAAGAAATCAAAACAAAACAAAACAAACTTCAAGGGTAAGAGAAAAGAAGAAAGAGCATGTGAAAGTAGAGGGGAGTTTGCAGACCACTTTTCTTAGATTGAATTTGTCCTGAGCTTTGATTTTGATGCAGTGGTTAGGAGATGCCATCCTGAGAACCTGGTATCTGTTCCTTCCTTGTAGAAGTTGGATTCTTTTCTCCATGCTGATTTTCTGCTGCATCTGGGCATCAACTCAGCCTAGAGTGTATTAGAAAGTAGTATGACAGTATCAGGTAGCTGACATTTTTGGCAACTTCTATCTATTCTTTTTTTTTTTCCTGCTTCCCTGAGAATTTGTGTTAGTGAATGTATTTGCCGGTAGAGATACAGTTTCATATCCTTATCATTTAAACTATGACTGGGTAAATGCTGTCAAGGAAGAGGAAAGGTAGTCAAAGTGTGAAATATTTGGAAAACAACTAAGAGGATAATTCTTCATATTAAAAAGATTTGGCATATTGAAATTTAGTTTATATAAAAATATTGCAGTTGATCCTGGAATGTAAGAGACTACAAGAGGCATGGTTTCTTCAAAGCTCTGTCTTGCCTGAACAAAATGTCCAACTTTTGCTCGTTCCTTCCTTGGCCTATTACTCATTAGTTATTAGCTGCTTCATTTCCATAACAAACATTTATATTAACATTGTAGGAAATCTACAATGGAAGAAGATGGACAGGACCTGTTGGATGATGTGTAAGTCATGCGAATGATGAAAGAATTCTGTGGAGTAATGGTCTCTGTGGGAGCTCTGGTGGCGTAGTGCCTAAGGCATTTGACTGCTAACCAGAAGGCTGGCGGTTCAAACCCACCAGTCACTCCTCAGATGGAAGGTTGGGCAATCTATTTGGTAGTGGTAGGTATAGCCTCGGAAACCCAAGGAGGGGTTGGTATGAGTCAGATCCAACTTGATGGCAGGGAGTTTGGTTTTTGGTAATGGTCTCTGTATCCAAGTGGTAAGGAAGAATTGCATTAATTTGGAGGACATTATCTCCTCAAGCCTGGCAAGGCTTCCTGGGGAGAAAACCTTTGGTTTCAGTCTTTACACTACCAATTAATAGTACAATTTTCAGATATAGCTAATGTTTCAAGCAGCAAATTAATTTTGTTTGGAGAAAAAGTCTACTCCCCCCTTTCACTTAGCCCTTGCACCTACCTAATTGGATTAGAAGATATTTAAGTAGGTAACAGAGACTGTAGGAGCTCTGGTAGCGTAGTACCTAAGGCACTTGACTGCTACCCAGAAGGCTGGCAGTTCAAACCCACCAGCCATTCCTCAGAAGGAAGGTTGGGCAATCTACTTCCGTAATGATACCGCCTTAGAAACCCAAGGAGAGTCGCTATGAGTCAGATCCGACTTGACGGCACATAACAACAACAGAGCCTGTAAACGTTCCTCTGCCTTGTAAAACTTTAAATGCTTTATAGAAGTGACTTGAGTTATACATACTCCATATAAATTTATTTTAAAACAAATACCATACATTTACACAAATAATGCATGCCTTATGCAGTTTTACATACTGCACAACCCCAAGTGTTATTTTCATAAGCATGCCATATCAATTTTTTTACATGTTGATGACTTCAATTTCAATTTTTTTTTTTTCCTGCCTGGGGGCCCTGGGGGGCCAGGGCAGTATGCACAACCTGCATCATCCTGCTGCTCAGGTTTATTGTGAGGCTTGCACTGTGGCACCTAGGTGCAGGTGGGCAATGGCCCTTGCCAGCTACAGAACCAGCCTATGCTCATACTATGGCAACCCCACTTACAGCACTCTGCCTGACCCTCCACCTGTCTTCAGCAACGTGGCTGGGCACAGATTAGCTACCATGAACTCCACTGCTCTCAGACCAGGTCTTGAACTGCCCCAGGGCAAATGCACACTTTCAATTGTTTATTTTCTGATTACCACGTAGTACCAAATTCAATCTATAATTTCATGACTGTAGCTTATACTTTAGTATAAAAATACGATAAAAACTAACATTTTCAGACGATTGAATGAGGGTGAATGAGGCTGAAATTCACTTCTGGGAATGTTATGAGACATGGCATAGATGTGCTATGCCAGAGTTTTTAACATAATTTTGTCATTTCTGTCCATTGTGTGTGTGTAATTCAAGTGGGTGTGCTATTTGTGAAAGACACAGTAAGTTAGAATATAATTACTCATACAAAAATATTTCTTTTTCTTTGTGAAAGATTTCAAAGGAGTTGAGTTTCAGTAGGTTCCACTTACAATATTCAAAATGAAAATATGATTAGACTCCAGGGATTTATTTCTTGCAAAAGAGTATAGAAATCAATTTATCACAGAAAGTGAGAACGTACAGGCTGGGTTAGGCATAATAACAACATAAGATGGAAGAATTAATAAGATTATGAGGGAAAGTCTTTTTTAGGGCTCATGTTTTCCTCTCCTGAGTTAAGTAATAAAGCTGATTTTCTTGTAGGTATGATGTGATAGAAATACCAAAATTAGAAGTCACAAAACAGAACCTTGACTACCTGAACTCAGACCTTGAAAAGGATCTGCAGAGTCTGGATGAGGCAAATCAGATTCTTCTGAGAACAATTCAAGAGAAAGAAGAAACTATTCTAAGGTCAGGCATTACAGTATGTGAAGGAAGGGTTCCTCTTCATCTGAACGTTCTTTAGGATAAAAAGAAGGTGGGAGGAAAGTTCACTTGTCAGTGAATCTTCATGTGTTATTTAAATCTTGAAACATGAACTATGGTGCCTTCAAAGGTTTTAGTTAGAGATGTTTGCATTAAATTTCCACATTAGGTTGACATTTTACTGCCACTGTATTTGGTAGTCACTCCAGGTCCCTGAGACCCTTGACAGGAGTTTTCCAAGCTGGGGCCACAGTGCTGATGCAGCTTCCTTGGTACTGATCCATGCATAGTAATTTTGTGTTTTTCAGGCTGGAAAGAGAGCTCACCCTGTCACTAGGACTAGCCAAGGAGAAAGAGGAGCTGAACAACACCATATTTGAAAAAGAGGAAACCCTGAGGAAGGTGGAATTAGAGACAGCAAAGCTGGTAAGGCTAGAAAAGAGTATCTGATGTATTTTGCTTGCAATCTGCACTCCCTCTTCCTAAAGGGATTGTCACATATTCATCTCCTCTGTATCTGTAGAGTTTGCATCTGTTAAAGATTGTGCTCTGTGAATGAAGCTCTGGGCATAGGGACTCACTCAGTGCCTGGGCTCTGCTCCCAGATCTGTTGTGTGAAGCTGGAGTGCATTTTTTCCCACGTTACATACATACACACAGATATTTAAAAGTTGCTGTTGAGTTAACTATGACTGACGGTGACTCATGTGTGTCAGAATAGAACTGTACACCACAAGCTTTTTAATGGCTGATTTTTCAGAAGTAGATCAACAGGGCTTTTTTCCAAGTCTCCTTTGGGTGGACTTGAATCTCCAACTTGTCTGTTAGCAGCTGAACATTTTACCATTTGAAACACCTAGGCGCTCTGGTGGCATAGTGCCTAAAGCATTTGACTGCTAACCAGAAGGCTGGTGGCTCAAACCCACCAGCCACTCCTCGGAAGGAAGACTGGGCAATCTAGTTCCATAGAGATACCACTCTGGCAACCCAAGAAGGGGTTGCTATGAGTCAAATCAACTTGACCGCAGTGAGTTTGGTTTTCCTTTTCGGTTTTAGAGACCCCTATACACTTATACCCAGATGTAATTTCAGTGGCTCAGAGAGGGGGAGGGTGTAAGAGTACAACAATTTGTTCCCTGATATCCTTCTTTCTGCAGGAAAAAAATAATAAAATTCTAAGCAAGAATGTGTTGGAGCTTCAGAAGAAGGTAAGGTGGGTTTTTGAGGCCACCAGGATCCCCAGAAGACAGCCTTCACAAGAGAAAGGCTGGTGGGGTTGGCTGGGAGCATGAGAGCGAGGGACTGGTCATAGTAAAAAAAAAGGAAATATATATACACTCGTGGAAGGGCTATTTTCCACATCACAGTATCCATTCTTGAAATGAGGCTAATTTCCTGGGAATTCCTGAATTCCAGATTCAGTGTCTTCCTAAACTCTCCAGCCAGAAAAACTAGAGTGGGAGCAATCAGAACAACCACTCTGTTCCCTCTCCCCTTGCCACCTTCTAAATTTCCTGGTACAGATTCTGACTCATATCACCACTTGTTTTCTGGGAGTTACAGATTTGTGTTGAAAGACCTCAAGGATTTTAGAGGGAGAAAATATTTGCCCTTCCCATCTACAGCGACTCATCCATTCTCTTTTTCCTCTGCTGTCATCCTCCTCTCCTCATAGTTCCCATTGGCTATGTGGACAAAAAGGTTTTCCAGCTAGCATGGACTCAGACAGCTTCCACAAGGGAGAGGAAACACATTTCCTTCACACTTCCATCTGGGGCCTGAATAAATTATCTCTCTCATTCTGCAGCCCTGGGGTCCTGAAGTCTACCATTATCCCAGGTTTTCTTGTTTCTGTGCCTTATTTAGTTCACAACTTTTGCAATGAAATTTCAGATTTCAAGGAGATTTGAGAATGTTGACCTTGATAAAGAAACCCTAAGGCAGATGTTGACAGAATCGAAGGTGAGTAGAAAAGCAAATCAAGATATTTTCTGGTAGGTGGTGTGTCTATTTTAGGTTCCAGGAAGAGGAGCAATCTTCAAGGATTCTCCAAGGCTAGTATATTTTCATGCTTGTGAAATGTGGGCTGATTTCTTTTGTTCCCTCTACTTAACTCCACGGATGATGGGACATTTATAACATGTGTGTCACACTAGTAACAAAGATGGCTGCAGTGGCATTTCAGTGGAAGGGACTTACTCTAGAGACCTTGTCATTTGTCAGTCAATATAACACACATTCTGAATGCTTATCTGGACCTGCCCTCAAGTTTATGATCTACACAGGGCACACAAATACAGATATGTAAGTACATAACTTCCATGATCATATGAGGGAGCTCGGGTAGCACTGTGGGTGAGGTATTGCACTGTTAAGGTCCATTGTTTAAATCTACCAGCTGCTTCACAGCAGGAAAATGAAGCAGTCTCCTTCCACAGGCAATGATCTTATTTTCCAACCTATGGCTCACAGACCAAGGAAAATTCATTTTTATTTTATCTTTTTCCTGTACCTGAAGATAAACCCAATGATAGCATGAGTTTTTGTCTGTGTTTTTCACTGCTGTTTTCCCAGGGCCTACAACAGTGCCTGGCACAAAAATGATGCCCAATAAATATTTGTGGAATGAATTAATGATTGCCCAGTAAGGGGAAAAACCTTTTGTGGAAGCCTTCTGGAGATTTATGTGAAGAATATATCTATTTGACTGATCCCAGAATGCAATAGCCCCATCATCCATTTTCCTGTCTGAAAAAGAGGAGAGAATTTTCTCTTCTGCTCTCTCTGTGATTTGGAGGGTATGCCAGTACACCTAGAGAATATGAGTGGGAGAAAGAGGCTGGTGAGCTATTGTTAGTAGGACTAGAGGTAGGGGAATGGTTAGGCCCAGAATCTAAGGAGTTAGACCACTTACTGAGGTTTAAATCTCACCTCTCCCAGTGTCTTGAAACATTCCCTTTCAAGCAAATTATTTAACTTCTCTATGCATTTGTTGCCTGCTAACCAGACGGCTGGCAGTTCAAACCCACCAGCCACTCCTCGGAAGGAAGGTTGGGCAATCCTACTTCCGTAGTGATACTGCCTCGGAAACCCAAGGAGGGGTTGCAATGAGTCGGGTTTGACTCGACGGCACATAACAACAACAACAACTCTGTTGCTATGTGGAGAGGGGGTGAAAACTGCCTGTTCATCCTCCACAATTTTCCTCTGTCTTCGTCTGCCATAGGTGAGACTACAAAGGGCAACAGAGTCCTGTGCAAAGCAAGAGAAGGAACTGATCAAGGTAGAGACAGTGTTTCTTCCACCGAAGGTCTAGCCCAGGATGTAAATAAGAAAGAATCACAAAGGTCTTAGAAACAGAACTACTTGAGGCATGGGATGAGGAGAACGAGAATAGTTGGCAAAGAATCTAAGATTCACATGCAGGTGAAGGGAAAGAAAGCTTATATTAAAAGTATTTGTCTTACTATTTCTTAAACACTTGCCTACCTCAAATATAAGGAGCCCTGGTGGCACAACAGTTAAGCACTTGGCTGCTAATTGAACAGTTGACTGGTGGAACCCACCCAGCAGCTTCACAGGAGAAAGATCTGGAGATCTGCTTCCGTAGAGATTACAGCCAAGAAAACCCTATAGGGCAGTTTTGCTCTGTCACTTGGGGTCACTGTGAGTTGAAATCTACTTGACAGCACCTAGCAATGACAACAACATCAAATATATTATTGAATCCCAAATCCAAGTGCCTTGAAACATTCCCTGATATTTCACCTGGTAGGCATATGACAATCTAGGCAAAACATTTCCTTTGCTTAAAATTAGACCCTAAGCCTGAATGATGAGATCACTATTTTGTGATTTGTTTGTTTCCGTTCAGGTAAGGAGGTGCTAGGGAACCAAATAAATGTCTAATGTACCAGTTAGGGAGCTTCAGGGATCAGCCTAGGCTTGAGTGGAAGCAAATGTTTTCATGGTTCTGATTTAAGGTATGGATTGGTTCTTTTCTTCCTAGTTAGAAAGTGACTACGAATCTGTGTATCAGCTCTGTGAGGACCAGGCCCACTTCATAAAGGTACAATGTTTCTGGGAGAAAAATCAGTGTAGAGGCAGAATGTTTCCAAGGCCATTATTAGGCAAGGGGTCTCTTGGCTTCTTGATAGGCTGAACTCTGCCACTGGAGCAAAATGCCTTTAATACTACAACAACAACAAAACAGATTTCAGTAAAGAATTTATTTTGTGCAAGTCACTTTGCTAAGCAGCCAACATATGGCGCTTTTTTCTCAATTTGCCCATAACTCTAGGAGGATGATACTGTCATGTTCATGAGGAAACTGATGTTTGGAGGAGTTGAAGAATATAACCTGGGAACACAGCTAGTAATTGGCAGAGCGGGGATTTGAACACAAGCAGAGTCAGAATGAGAACACCTTTTTTCATGTATAGCCATTCTAGTCACTAATGTCTCCTAATTTTCTATTAAAAAATTACCTGCAGACACATGCATTATGCCTGCACACATGCACATATCACTTAGAATATTAAGAGTTAGTCTTAGAAGATAAGTTTGTTATATATTTTTATTAATGTCATTGTAATGAAATATATGGAAATTCTCAATTATGACAAATATATATATTTTTTAATTTCCTTGGAAAGAAATACCAGGAAACGCTGAGAAAGATGGAAAAGGAAAAGGAGATGATGCTTCTTGAAAAAGAAGTGTAAGTTTTCAAAATGACTCATTAATGGACTGAAGTGACAGTCTATGACATTTTTGAAGGGTGGGCTACCTCTCAGAACAATTTCTGTCTCTGTATCAACAGCCTCCAATAACTCATCCTTGTTGGTCTCTGTTCCATGTTGGACTGAAAAACATCAACATTCAAGGGTATCCCTGCCTTTTTTAGCAATTGATGTTTAAAATGTCTCTTTTTGGGCTTCTTTTCATGTGTCCTCAATTGAGTGTTATTGTTGAAAATTGACTCAGGCTGTATTCAGGGGAGCTCTGGTAGCATAGTGGCTAAGGAACTTGACTGCTAACCAGAGGGCTGGTGGTTCAAACCCACCAGCCACTCCTCAGAAGGAAGATGGGGCAATCTACTTCCATAGTGATACTGCCTCGGAAACCTAAGGAGGGGTCGCTAAGAGTAAGGTCTGACTCGACTGCACATAATAACAACAATATTCAGAGAGGAGGAATCTTGGTAAAAAGAGAGCAACAAGCCCAGAAATGTCTCTCCATATGGGCATGGTGTCTCTTTCCTGGGAATGGGGGACCCACCAGACTGACTAGGAGCCACAGTGATGTGCTTTTGTGCTCTGTATCCATAGACTTGTACATCTTAGTACTTAATTCACTTTCCTTTTATCTGTTTATACTTTTTAATTTTTATACTTATTTGTTTATGTGATGAATTTTCATACATGCATATATACTTATTAACATCACCCAGATCAAGATACATAACATTTTGAGCACCTCAAAGGTGACCCCTCCTTGTAAAGGAAAATTTTATCTGATCCTATACGATTTTTATCATTTTAAAAAATATATTTTTAAACTTAAAATTATTCAGTATATCCTCTCTTGGGTATGGCATTTTACGATGAGATCCATCCATGTTGCTGCATACAGCTGCAGTTTGTTCTTTTTTTCATAGCTGCATAGTTTTTCGTTGTAGGAATATGGTACAATTTATCTATTATACTGATATTTTTTTTTCCTTTTTATTCCATTTAGAAATTTTTCTTTTCTTTTTTAGTTTAATTTTATTGTGATGTGAGTGGAAGTTTACAAAGAAAATTGGTTTTCCATTCAACCATCTGTACATATTCTGTTTTATGACATATACTGCAATCCCCACACAGTAAAAGTATTCTTTTTAGTTCCTTCCTTCCCATTCCTCCCCGCTCCCCGACCCCTTACACACACACTGCCTTTCTAGCTCTATCCCTGGGCAAATGCTGTCTTCTTGATCTCATATGCTTGATTGTCCTAGTGAATGCTTATCCTCATGATATTACTGTTTACCTTGTAGGCCTGTCTGTCATTTTGCTGACAGTTGAGTCATGGTGGTTAAGTTCAATTCCTAGCTTGAAAGATGTCTAAAGGCCATAGTCCTGAGGGTTCCACTAGTCTTTTGATGATGATTATTTTTCTTAATTATAACTCAGGGCTATTAAGAACAAAGCTGCTATGAACATTCTTGTTTACTTCCTTTGGTGGACATATGCACTCATATCTTTTGGGTATATACCTAGCAGTGTAATTTCTAGGACTGTGGTGTAGTGAATTACATGATATGACTTTTCTACCCATAGTCTTTGTAACTCCCACCAGATTACTGTGAGTAGCTGCTTTTAAATTCCTGATTGTTAAAGTCATCCACCTGGGGTATTTCTGTTGGAGCAGCAGGAAGTAATCTTCTGGGAAAGTTTGCTCTCTCTGAGGTGTGTAGAACTCTGATGTTGGTATTTGTTAGTTCTGCCACTCTGCCAGGCTTAAATGAGCCCTCCTAGAGGCAGGGGGGAAATCTCACTGCTTGCTGAGAGAGATGTCCAGCTGAGAAAGAAGCCCGGCTGACAGACAACAGCAGTGGAAACAAGAGGCATGAGACAGAGCAGTAGGCTTTCCTGGCCCACAGAGGCAGAGGCCAGGCCAAGAGGCCAAGGGCCAAAGAGGCTTGTCTAAGGGTACAGCAGAGGGGAGACTATCCTGATGGAAGAACTGCATCCTGAGTGTGTTCTTGGACTTGAATTGTAGCTTGTTACTTCCCTAATAAACCCCATAATCTGTGAGTTCTGTGTGGCCACTGCAGCGAATTATTGAACCCAGAAGAGAGGTGGTGAATGTCACAGGAGGGATGGTTGGTGTCTAGGTTGGTAAGAGGGCTGGAAGGTGGTGGTATGTCTGGCCTCATGGGAACAGGCCATGGGCCACTGATGGTGAGTCTGTCTTCCTCTTGTCTAGTTAGAAGAGGTCAAAAGATGTTGCTTTCTAGACCTTTTAGCAGGAACATGAGGTTTATATATCTTTAGCTTTATTAGAGAAAGCCAAATAGTTCCCAGAGTGGCTATACCAATATCCCCTCCTATGACAAATGTATGAGAGTTCTAGTTATTCTACATACACACTGACAATTGGTATTTCAAGTCTTTTTTAATTTTAGCCATTCTGGCAAGGATGTAGTGATAATCTAATTTTGGTTTTAACAATACGTTTCACTGATTACTAATGACATTGTAGACCTTTTCAAATGTTAATTGGAAACTTGGATATCCTCTTCCCTGAGATGTCTCTTGCTGATATTTGGAGGGTTGTCAGTCTTTTTCTTACTAATTTGTAGGAGTTCCTTATATTTTCTTGATAGAGTCCTTTGTCAGGTGTATGTGTTACAATCTATTCTATGCATCTTTCAGTGAACAATCATTCTCAATTTAAAGTAAATCTCATTCATCAAATTTATGAGTCTTTTCTTTTTGGTTTTTGATTTCATTAGGTCATAAAATTGTGTCATGATTTCTTCTGGAATTTTCTTTTATCGTTTTACCTTTAGGTTAACATTCTATCTAGGACTTTTTCTTTTCTATGGTGTTAGATAGAGATTAAAATCCTTTTAAAAAATAAATAAATTAAATAAGTCAGGTAACCATATATGTGTGAGCCTGTTTCAAGATACTTTATTTTGTATCATTGGTCTATGTGACTATTCTTGTGCTAGTACTATACTGTTTAATTACTGTAGCTTTATAACTAGTCATGACATGTGACAGTTTAAGTTCTGTAACTGCTCTTCTTTAAGTTTACCTTGGCTGTTATTGGCCTTTTAAGTTTCCACATAAACTCTAGATCAGTTTTTCAATTTCTACAAAAAAATATTTGCTGAGATTTTTATTGGAATTACATGAAATCTGTGTATCAATTTAGGGAATAACTGATGTCTAGAAAACATTGAGTTTTCCAAACCATGAACATATATGTATCTCTCCACTTATTTAGGTCTTTTATGATTTATCGCAATAATGTTTTATAGTTTTCTGTGTAGTGTTCTTGTACAACTTTCATCTTTTGTTCCTAGGTATTTGATATTTTTGATTCTGTTACAATTGTATGTTTATTAATTTGTTTTTCTAATTGTTAATTAGGGGCTCTGGTAGCATAGTGCCTAAGGCACTTGACTGCTAACCAGAAGGCTGGCGGTTCAAACCCACCAGCTACTCCTCGGAAGGAAGACGGGGCAATCTACTTCCGTAGTGATACTGCCTCGGAAACCCAAGGAGGGGTCGTTATGAGTTGGGTCCGACTAGAAGGCACATAACAACAACAACAACAACAATAGTTAATTGATATTATATAGTAATATAACTAATTTCTATAAATTAAACTTGTATCCTTCAACCTTGGTAAATTTACTTGTCTAATAATTTGTAGATTATTTTAAATTTCATCTGTGAATCATCTTTACACTTTTTATTTATTTTTCTTACCTTGTTGCATTAGATACAACTTTTAGTGTACTACTAACAAGATATTGTAATAGAGGATGTTTTAGAATCTCAATGTACACATGTACAATGTAAGAAGGAGACCGGTATCACCTTGAAGGAAAATACTGCAGGCATTCAAACTCATTTTCCTGTTTCTCTCCTCATTTGTTTTTCCTCTTGAGGCATGATAAACTTGGCAGTCCTGAATGCCATGTTCTGTCTCCTCAGCCCATTAATGCTGCCACTTGCTGCTTGAACTTTATTCCTGTTACATAAAAGCAGATCTGTGCTAGGGGTGGCTCTTGCCAATGAGAATAACACCAAGGTGAGGGAAAGAGATAGCTTTATTCTTTAGCCTCTATGAGACAGAGAGATATTAATCCTCAGGTTCTGTCTGTTCTCAGAGTGTGACTTGATTTTCTTATAAGTTGTTGGCCAAGAAGGTGATGCTAGTACAGGTTTGTTGTTGTTGTTGTTATGTGCCGTTGAGTCGGCCCCGACTCAAAGCGACCCCTCCTTGGGTTTCCGAGGCAGTTATCACTACAGAAGTAGGATTGCCCAACTTTCCTTCCGAGGAGTGGCTGGTGGGTTTGACCCGCCAGCCTTCTGGTTAGCAGTCAAGTGCTTTAGCCATTATGCTACCAGAGCTCCTAGTACAGGTTTAGATACATATTAAAACAAACACAAATGTTGTAAGCATGCACAATTGCAAAAAGTTACACCTTCTGATAATCCTGTAAGCATGTTTCATTATCATACAAACTGTCCCCTCAGAGACATGTTTTTTACCATGCTAAGGCATTTGACTGCTAACCAGAAGGCTGGTGGTTCAAACCCACCAGCCAATCCTCAGAAGGAAGGTTGGGCAATCTACTTCCATTGTGATATCGCCTTGGAAACCCAAGGAGGCGTCGCTATGAGTTGGATCTGACTTGATGGCAGTGTGTTTGGTTTTTGGCTTTGGTTAATGAAACCCTTTACCTACTTGTGTTGACAAAAACAGGAATTGCAACCTTTTTCTGAGAAACCACAAGAGCATGATATTTAACAGTAACTTTGAATGTCTGGGGGTTGGTCTCAAGTCTACCTTTTGAATCTATGTTGTTATACTAGTCAGAAGCTTCAATTGACATTTTCACTAACTTTCTAAATTGTGATGTCAAATTTTGATGTTTATGTCTACATTCCAAGTAGCCGTGTACATAGGGTTTGCTGTAACTTAATTAAAATATCAATGTGTCATTCACTCTGAATTTATAAAATATAGTAGTAGGTCATTAAAAGGTATTGGAATTGAATCATAGCTTCTTCTTTTTTATTTTTTAATAAGGATTTAAGATCTTGTAGAAGTTCTGCCATTTGGTATTCTTTTAATGATTCCAGTGAAGGGAGGGGTTGGTTCTGCAAGAGGATACTGTTTTGACTCAGGTATGATGAATTCACAGTTTGATTCCTTCAAGTTTACCTGTGGTGTGTGTAGTCAGCAAAACTCGGAAAGGTCTTTTCCACTGAAGCTGGAGAGCACTGTCCTTAAACGGTCTAAGTGGGATAAGTCTCTGAATTGAAAAGAATGGACTTGGACTTCCAAAGGGAACTTTTGATGTAAGTAGGAGTGCTTGTGAAGAGAAGACAATACAGCACAAAACACACAAATAATTGTAAACACACTGTTCTCCAAGGACAGCAAGTAGCACACCATTTGTCACCCAGAGGTTATTCTGGAAGGGCCTCCTTTATAAGCTCAAAGGGCTTAACTTTACCATCCCTAGGGTCACTTTCGAAGTAGAACCAATGCTCAAGGATACACCGTTAAGGGCTGCATTCCAGAATCTCATTCTGTACATTATTCATTATTGTAAAAGCACCTTAATTTTGTCAACTTTTAAAGCTTCATGGGCTAAGTCTACCTGGTCTACCCTTTAAACAACACAGTTTAAGTTGATAGAAGAGACTCACCAGAGAGACTCATGCCCCTTTTCACAGAGCAACCAGGAAAGCTATCTCCTTGTCCTGACACCTTTGTTATATCTGTGAGTATCACCTTTGGGTCTGAGATCAGTTATGACTTCAAGAACCAAGGACTTCAGCCCTGGAGGAAAAAAATCCAGTGTATGCTGGGATCAGCTGTCATCTCATGTCAGAGGCATCTCTCAGAACTGGGTAAGATGAAAAGGCAGAGTCTCATCTAGGTCATAAGAAATTGCCACCTGAAAGTGGGTCCATGCCCCGTACACCTCTTGCCAATGGAAACCACACTGAGATGAGGGAAGTCATCTTTGACTCATGGCGACCCTATCTACAGCAGAACGAAACACTGCCCGGTCCTGTGCCAGTCTCATGGTACTTGCTATACCTGAGCCAATCTGTTCTGGCTACCTAGTGCCACTCTGACAGGAATATACCACAATGGGATGGCTTAAACAAACAGGAGTTTATTCTTACAATTTGGAGGCTTTAAGTTCAAGTTCAAAGTGACAGGCTCTAGGGGCTGGGTGAAAGCCCCTCAACCTTGAGTTCCAGCTCTGCCTCCCGCTCCCGGCCCACTGGAGCTAGAGGCATTTTTTCACTCAGACAGCTTCAGGCTGCTGAGGCTGAGAAGCCCCAAGGTTGACAAGTAAAAAGGCACAGTCCCGATGTTACCAGACCACACGGCAGGGCATTAACTTAAGTCCATTTTATGTCCCAAGGTCAGCAGAGCATAGCAGGCTACTGAGCAATGACACGGCTACATGCAGGGTCCAAGTGTGCCATAGGCTAAAGATGATTCTCAAAGCTTCTCTTTATATACAGGAAGCAGACCACATACCGAGAGGCAGCTACTCAGCTGCTCACAGTAGATTCCACCATGGAGTTGATTACCAGTCTCATCATGGGGAAGACTGCATCCAGCTGCCCAGCCACTCAACCAGGCCTAGCCAAGTTGACACACAAACATAACCACCACACCATCGTTGTAGCCACTGTGTCAATATATCTTGTTGAGGGCCTTCCCATCTTTCATTGACACTCCACTTTACCAAGCATGATATCCTTCTCCAGGGAATGGTCCCATTTTACAACATGACCAAAGTTGTTGAGAAGTCTGGCCATTCTCGCTTCCAAGGAGAATTCCGGCTGCACTTTCCTCCAGGACAGATCTGTTAGTCCTTTTAGCAGTCCATGGTACTCTCAGAATTCTTCGCCAACACCACAACTCAAAAGCATTTAACTCTTCTTCTGTCTTCCGTATTCATTGTCCAGCTCTCACATGCATATGAGGTGTTTGAAAATACCCTGACTTGTGTCAGGCACACCTTTGTCCTCAAGGAGATGTCTTTGCTCTTCAGCACTTAAAAGAGGTTCTTTGCAACCAATTTTCCCAGTGCTGTTACATCATCTGATATCTTGACTGCTGCTTTCATTGGTGTTGATTGTCGAACCAAGTAATATGAAGTCTTTGACAACTTCAATCTTTTCTCCATTTATCGTGATGCTGTTTATTGGTCCAGTTGTGAGGATTTTTGTTTTCTTTATGTTGAGGTGTAATCTATACTGCAGACTGAATTCTTTAATCTTCATCAGTAAGTGCTTCAAATCATCCTCACTTTCAGTAAGCAAAGTTGTGTCATCAGCATACTGAAGGTTGTTAATGATTCTTCCTCTAGTCCTGATGTCACGCTCCTCTTCATATAGTCCAGCTTCTCAGATTATTTGCTCAGTGTAAATATTGAAGAAGTATGATGAAAGGATACAACCTTGACTCACTCCCTTCTTGATTTTAAACCATTCGGTGCCCCCTTGTTCTGTTCAAATGACAGTCTACTGGTCTATGTACAGGTTCCTCATGAGTACAATTAAGTGTTCTGGAATTCCCATTCTTCTCAATGTTATCCAAATTTGTTATGATCCCCACAATTGAATGCTTTTGAATAGTCAATAAAACACAAGTAAACATCTTTCTTGTATTTTTGCTTTCAGTAAAGTTAATCCATAGCAAAAACAGGAATCATAAATTTTTCCCTAGAAATCACAAAGACTATGACGTTTATCAGTGACTTTGAATGCCTGGGGGTTGGTTTCATTTCCTTGCACTGAAAATTGGCAAATGCACTTGGGAAAAAGTCTGGTTGAATGAGCAGCTCACCTCAGTGTGCTTTCCTTTTCATAGGTCTTATTGTTGTTGTTGTGTGCCATCGAGTCAGATCTGACTCAATAGCGAACCCTCCTTGGGTTTCCGAAGCAGTATCTCTACAGAAGTAGATTGCCCCATTTTCCTTCCGAGGAGTGGCTGGTGGGTTTGAACCACCAGCCTTCTGGTTAGCAGTCAAGTGCCTTAGTCACTATGCTTCCAGAGCTCCCTTCATAGGTCTTGTATCCCCTCAATTTCTTCAATAATTGCATTCTCCAATACATTAAACCAGCTGTTTCATGTATATTGTCTAGTTTGCATAGTTTCTTTTGAAGATGGGCTACTGTGATACAAGCTACTCCATCAAGAGTTTATAAGAACAGAACCAGAAATGTGTTCTACTTTTCCCTTTTCTCCTTTATGTGATGATTAAAAAAAAAAATTCCCACAAAAATACTGAGTAAGATTTTACTGGATCTGAGCCTCCAGTGAGGTCTGATCTGGACAACAAAAAACAACAAAGCAAATGAAGAAACCATGAGTGGAAGGCACTAAGGGAGTGAGTAAATGCAAGCAGATTCTGGAGGGAAGTTGATACCTGGAAGAAGGGGGAATTTTCCCATTTTTATCACTTTTAGCCTGAAGCCAGGCCAAAATTGGTGCTGTGAGATGCAGTGAAAATCCAGATAGAGAACATGAGTCTTTCTGGAGTAAAAGAGAATAGTCAGATTTTGGGCCAATTAAAGCTGCTGGGAAAAAACTGAAAGTGAGAGATGAGAAGTCCAAAATTTTGTGTCTAAAGTTTCCCCAAATCTCTGCCTGACCCCTAAACTCTGCATGATCAGGGCAGTCTGTGAGCAGCTCAGCCACAAAGACTGCAATTTGAATCCAACATCTGGGTTATTACAGGACTGGTCTCCATTGATTTTCTTTTCTCTTGAGAATATAGTATCTTCCTGATTATTTGTATGTTGAGAAATTTTCTATTTGGAATGTTGAACATTGTCCATTTTGTCAAAAATTTAGGAAATAAGTCAAAGATGTTGCATGACTTAGGAAAACACTTTTCATTACCCCCTTAATTATGTTACACAGTCCTTGGCTCTAATTTTTTTTTTTTTTAAATCCAGATCCAAAGCCCAGAATGACTCCTCCCAAATAGTGAAACCTGGGACAATTTTGGTGGAGACCATCCAAAGCAACATGGTAAGGCCTCCCTGACACAATTTGGGGTTTTCCTCTACTTCTTCCCTCCTCCGGATTGCCATTTCTTTTCTTGTCTTGTCTTGTCTCCCCCAGCTGTCCCCTAACTCTAGAATTAGAAAAAAAATATGTCACAGTACCTTATCACTCCACAGCAGCTAGGAAGTGGCAGAGCCGGGATTCAAACCTGAGCAACCAGACTCCAGGGTCCATGTTCTTGCTAAATTGTCTCCCTGTGAGCACATGGACAGGCTTAGTTGTGGCTTTTATTGCTTCCTATAGGAGAAGACCTTCATTAAGAAACA